AGAGAGAGAGAGAGAGAGAGAGAGAGAGAGAGAGAGAGAGAGAGAGAGAGAGAGAGAGAGAGAGAGAGAGAAAGAGAGAGCTGATGTTGATGGACGTGGATTTGCAATTTTCTTTGTCTTGTCTCCCTCTTTACTTTTGTATATAAGTTTTGATCTCGGCTCAGGGCAATTTGCCCATCTTTTGCTTTCGGAACCTTGGCTTTGGCTTCAGCCCCCACTTGTTTTGCGATTGATTTTGATCTCGTTTATTGTGTGTTTTTGTCGAATGAATGGATGAATGAATGACATGTTTGTCGTTTTTTTTCTGTCTGGTCATCATCATTGCTTGCCATTTTGATATGCTGTTAGCAGGATACGAGTTTTGATGTTGTTGCGATGTCTGATGTATAATGACACCTTGCATGCTCGGGAACGACTGCTTAGGGGATCACTGACTGATTAGATGATTGGGTAGTTGTCCGTGTCGTGTGGCGATTTTCGCATAAGGAATTAGACTCTCACTTTTCCAGGAACAAGCGAACACCTCGCGGGGTTACGGGTAAGCGCGAGCTGATCTGCGCAGCCTACACGTATCCACGCGCGGCGATCCGCGACCATGAATGCACCTGACATCTCCGTGTCGGATAGGCGGGAGTTTTCCTTCTTTCACGCACCTAAACGGATGGGAATTTTCGATATCATATCGAGAAATCCCCTTACCAGCTAGATGCGTACGGAAGGCTTCTACTACACAGCAATGACAAGATGTCGGACTCAGGGGACTCAGGGTACTTCGAACCTTGGGTAAGAGAATATCTCAGGCAGAGACGCCCTGAATTTCCCTGCCTAACCGAGAACCAGTTGTGCCCCAGGGAGTTTCACTGTGCCGTAACCAGCGATCCAAGGTGCCCCGATTACCCAACTACGTATAACACGCAATACTTCATATCCCCCGGCTTCGTCGTCATCGCTACCAATTTCCCTCACTTCCGTCTCCTCCTCCCGTACCACCAACTCACGGTGGTACCGTGGAATTCCATTGCCCCGTATTGACCCTGCACGCCGTGCAGAAACTGCAGACAACGCGGACACCGCCAAACCCCTGGAACTTCGGAACCCCACCATAACGCGCGGCGACAGACGCCACGTGTCTACACCCGAAGGTCCGACTTATAGGAATCGCAACCCTCACGAACAAGCCTCTCCCGAACCGCCGTAATCAAAAACAGGATTGAACGGCCCTTGATGCCCCGCGCATGCCATCTACCTTATGACTACACGATGTCAACCGCCATCAGACCGGAAGCAACCCGCCCCTTAGCCCTATTGCACCTATGCCCCTGAACCCTTGCCTCAGGAGGTCTCAGTTCCGACCTGGGACTCCACCCCCACTTTCCCCAAAAATCATTGGCACACCCCTTTTCGCACTTCCAGGCCCACATCCCACTCCGATCAGGAAGTCGCGTCGGGCGTGAGGTTGGGCGTCACAGCATGGCCGCCATGGGAGATGGAAACTGCACCATGCGAGCCCACCCCAACTCCGTCCTCGTGAAGGGGCCTGCAATTGCTCATCGGTAGCAGAGAACAGGAGGTCACGATCATCAACGAGGTCCCAAAAGGCCTTGTCTCATCATCAGAGGGGTATTCAGGCGTTGATCGACCGCCCCCTCAGACGCAAGGCCCTCCCAGCTTGGTGATCCCTAGTCCAAACTACAAGGAGGGGTCGCAAGCCCCAACCCAGTGCCACCAAATCTCTCTTCGAAGAGATTCACGTTGATTTGCCTGATTTGTTTAAGGACTCTAAACTAGGTTTCTTTTTTTGAAATGCTACATTGCTAATTAGTAAGGGACATTTTGCAAAATACACCCCAAAGTTATGTCTTCTTGCCAATTAGTGAGAGAAGCTGATAGAGAACACTTGAAACAGCATGTGCCCCGACGCACTTCTGACCGCCACCACAATCTCCTCAGGGGATCACCGGCACCCACTTCCCTTAACTAGTCGTTCACCAACAACCCGCGTAATATGCGCGCACCACACACTCTCGGCAGGATAGCCCCATGTCAACAAAGCTTCGTATCTGTAACCAGGAGGCTCGACACCCCTGATCAGTTTTCATATTCTGGAATATTGCGGCGACCGGATCTCGCCCGTCAATCGCCCCCACATCATCTCCATCCTTCCACGACTGAGTAGGATTCCCAATGGAGATGATGTGGGGGCGATTGACGGGCGACATCCGGTCGGCGGTCGCCGCAATATTCCAGAATATGAAAACTGATCAGGGGTGTCGACCCCCCTGGTTACAGATACGGAGCTTTGTTGACATGGGGCTATCCTGCCGTGATCAAGAGTAGTGATACAAGGGTGTCGAGCCGCTGGCTAGTTGTGTTTTTGCTATGGCCGCCGGCATGTGTTGCTGGCTACTAGAGCTTCGCATACCTTGCTTGTGAAGTTGCGACTAATGGCGTTGTGGGCTTCTCGACTCGGCTCTGAATGGGCGTGAGGGACGATCGGTCGATTGGTGGCGGATCCTCCTTCTTATCGGCTTCTTATCGGCTAATTTCGACTTGTGCTACTTGATGACCTATTGCACTTGGGTCTCTCCTTGGGCTGTGATAGCTGATGGGACTTCGTCCTATT